AGTGCTGTGCTTTAACCCGCTGCGCACCAGGGAGGGCCTATTTTTTTTTTCTTTTAAGAAGACTTTTGAAAGAAGCAGAGAGAGGCAAAGGAAAATGCTGGGGAGAGAGCAGTAAAGACTAGTCAGCTTGTCATTTAAATTTGATTATAACCAGAAACCTCTAAGCTTTTCTACATGAAAAGTTGGGGAACTCAATCACAGCCAGGTTTAAATCTCCCCAAGATAGACACCGAGGCAGCAATGGAAACCTTTTCAACATGACTGCTTTAACGACTTGACATCTTGCTTGACCTGCCCTCATTCATTTCTAGAACTGCATACATTTCTAGAACTACGCCTTAAGGAAATAATTGGAGGTTCAGGCAGTTTTACACTCCAAAGACTTTCACTGCTGCATTATTTTCAACACTAAAAATCAGAAATGTCAATGTATCTCAAGTGCCCACAATAGGGGAGTAATTATATCAGTTATGATTGTCTATAAAATATGGAATTTCATGCTTTTGTTAAAAAAGGAGCATTTGTGAAGGATTTGGAGCATAGGAAAAATTAAGGCTATTGTGTTATTTGAGAAACAGACTATAAAGTTGCATACGCAATATAATTATAACTATGAGAAATCAGGCAATTACTTGAGGATAGTAATTAAATAAATTCCCATTGAAAATCTGAATAAATATCTACCAGAAGACGCCTAGAGGACATTACAGGGATCTCAGGCAGACAGAATCAAAAGCTGAGCTGTCTGCATCAACTTTATAACCGGAGATTGGAGTGTCTCAGCCTCTCTGAATCTCTGTCCCCTCTTCATTTTTTTTTTCTACGTGCTAGAAAACAGCACATAATAGAAAAATATTAAATCCTAGCTCTCTTACACATTGACATCCACATGTCTGTGACTTACTTGGGGAATTCACATGAGTTCTCCATTCATCCACCTAGGCATGAAATAGGCCCCTGTAGGCCCTCCCTGGTGGCGCAGGGGGTTAAAGCACTGCACTAAGAAGCTAAAGACACTTCAGCATGAGATCCATCCCCGGCCCCCGGAGGTGACCCACAGGGCGCAGCAGACCTCTCCTGTCTCCCTGCTGCTCCCCTCAGCAGTGTACTTCGTCAGATGGCTTATTCTGCTCCCCACTGTCTTTGGTGAATCCTCGCTCCACCCCTGCACCTCTGGACTGTACCCCAATTCTGTCTGCATAAATAAATAAATCTTTAAAAAAAAACAAAAAGGCACCTGTGGTGTACCTAGCCCTGTGCAGGTATCTTGGGACCACTCAGTATAAGAATACAGAGCCACGGGCCCTCCCTGGTGGCGCAGCAGGTTAGAGCACAGCACTGAGAATCTAAAGTCGCTTTCGCATGAGTTCGATTCCCGCCTGATATAATTACTCTCCTATTGTGGTGACCACATGGTGTGGCAGACCTCTCCTGACCCGCCCACTGCTCCCCTCAGCAGTGGACTTCGTCGATCTGCCTGTTCTGCTCCCCACTCTATCTCTGGTGAAGCCTCTCACCCTCCGCATCTCTGGCCTGTACCCCAGTTCTGTATGAATAAATAAATAAATCTTTAAAAAAAAAAAGAATACAGAGCCATGACCCAGGCCAGGAGCTGAGGTGTCCCCTTTTTCTCTTTTCCCCAGGAAGAAGCAGGCATCTTGGGCCCCCCAGGAGCCTGGGAAGCAGCGAGCAGACCAGCACCTGGTTGAGCCAGCCGGTGAGCTGGGGGTGCTATCTCCCCAGGGCCCTGCAGCACATAAAGAGCCGCAGCAGCAGGGCTCAGGGGAGACCAAGGGCCAGCAGGGGAGAGAGCAGGACCCGGAGGTGGTGGAGAGCCAGGTAATGTCCATGGAGGCCTGGGCAGGGGGGCTGCAGCAGTGAACCCACAAGAAAGGGGGAGCCCCCTGCTGCACCGCCCATTCCCATCACTCGTGTCCGGTGTTCTCTGTGTCCTAGGGGTGGAAAGTGCCCAGTGCACGCTGGTCAGAGGATATTCTGGATGTTCTCAGTGGCCCACAGTCTTTGCAACTTGCTTCTGGAATGGTCCACAGTGTGTCAAGGGTGACAGGAAGCAGGGAGGAGATGGGGCTTCTCCATGCACGCAAAACTGGGACACGCAGGCTTTAGCAAAGTTCAGACAGGTGTCTTTTTCCTTTAATAACATAATAGCTTACTTTTACATCATTTTGTGCCTTTTTCCAACCCAGTTGTCATCCCCGTGGGCTTCCCATCACCAAATCACCCGTGTGCCATCATCATCATCACACTCCAATGCACTTCCCTCCCCCCCATTTTTGATCCCATCCTCCCTTTACCCCCATAACATGGTATATAGCTGTTCACAATTATTATTATTTTCTCCCCTGGTCTTTTATACTTCTGCTACGCGTGAAACTACCCGGTATTTTTCTTTCTCTTTCTGGCTTATCTCACTAAGCATGATCCCTTCCAGCTCCATCATGTGGCTGCAAAAGGCATGTGTCAAACAGGTGTCTTTATATAAGACTAGCTCCTGCGTCACGGGCACCGTGCAAGACCTCGGACTATGTTGTTTTCTTTTCTTTTCTTTTTTTTTAAAGATTTATTTATTTGTGCATACAGAACTGGGGTACAGGCCAGAGGCTCAGGGGCGGTGAGAGGCTTCACCAGAGACAGAATGGGGAGCAGAACAGGCAGATCGACGAAGTACACTGCTGAGGGGAGCAGTGGGCGGGTCAGGAGAGGTCTGCCACGCCATGTGGTCACCTTCGGGGCGCGGGAATCGAACTCATGTGGAAGTGGCTTTAGATTCTCGATGATGTGCTTTAACCCGCTGCGCCACCAGGGAGGGCCTATGTTGTTTTCCTGTTAGTGTTTTGTGAGATCTGAACACGAGTCCTTTATCATATATGTAATTTGCAGCTTTCCCCCCAGTTCTGAGATGTCTTTTCTATTGTCATGGCAGTGACTTCCAAATAATATATCCACATGTTCTTAATTGTGATGAAGTTTAATTTATCAATTTTCACTTTGTGCTTTGACTTACAAATATTGACTGAATCCAGGATGATAGAGGATTTTCTCATGGGTTTTTTCAAGAAACGAGTGTTTAAGTGTAGTACTTGGGTTTATGATCCACACTGAATTATGTTTTGGGCCTTCCTAGTGGCCTAGGGGTCAGGCTCAGCGCTATCACCACGCCGGCCTGAGTTCGATCCCCGGCCAGGGAGTGACCCACAGGGCACAGCAGACCTCTCCTGTCTCCCCTCCCTTCAGCAGTGTATTTCAGTAAATCTACTAGTTCTGTTCCCCAATCTGTCTCTGGTGAATCCTCTTACTGCCCCCTGCACTTCTGGCCTGCACCCCAGTTTTCTTTTATGCAAAAACAAAACAAAACAAATTGAGTTAAGGTTTGCATATTGGTTGGATCAAGAGTCCTCTTATTTGCATATGGCTATTGAATCACTAGCATTATTTGCTGAAGGCTGTCCTCCTTACTCGGCCGAATTTGCACCTTTATTGCAAATTCATGGACCCCATAGGCGGGAGTCGCTTTCTGAACTCCCTTCTCTATTTCATTCACCTATTGATCGACTCTATTTTTTTAATTTTTAATTATCTTTAAAGATTTATTTATTTATCCTTACAGAACTGGGGTGCAGGCCAGAGGTGTGGTAGGTGAGAGGATTCACCAGGGACAGAGTGGGGAGCAGAACAGGAAGATCTATTGAAGTATACTGCTGAGGAGAGCAGCGGGTGAGCCAGGAGAGGTCTGCTGCACTATGTGAGTCAGCTCCCTGGCCGGGGATCAAACTCGTGCTGCAGTGGCTTCGTAGAGCTTCATAATGTGGTGCTTTAACCCGTTGCGGCACCAGGGAGAGCCCCTTATGGACTCTATTTTAACACCACACTACATTATAATAACTTCGTAATGATAAATCAGCTCAGGTAGATACCTGCTTTTTAGGGCGCACCATGAATATTCTTCCCTGAGACATCCTGTAGGAAACCACATTTGACGAGCATCACCTCACATTCCCCAGGCTCCTCTGCAGAGAAGCTTAGACTGTGACTTTGGAGCAGCCTTCCCTCCCGGGCTCAATTTCCTCATCCCTCAAGACGGGGATACCTGGGCTGCCTCGAGGAGGGCTTGGGGAGACTCGGCAGGTGATGCCTGCCGTGTACGGACCTGACTGAGTGATCACAGGTGTCTTGGGGGTGCTGAGGTTCACGGGAGACACAGGATGGGGCTCCATCGTGGTGTCTTGTGCTCAGCAGCACCAAGCATGTGAGTTCGCCCTACACCGTCAGGTGACAGATGAGGCAGACACTGGGCAGCCAGCTGAGCCTTGTGGCCCGTTGAACAGCTGTGGGCAGCACCTGGACAACAAGCCCCACACGGAGGTGAGCACCCCACTCATCAAGCCACAGGAGGTTCTGCTGGGCCCTCAGCCAGGGGAGCTTGAGAACAGTCTCCAGGAAGCAATGCCTCTCATGCCTAAAGCCACATTGAAGGAGAAGACAGACACCCCCCTCCTACCCTCCACACCAGGACCTCAGTCACCCCAAGAAAGGTAAGTCATCCTCTGGTAGTGCTCCCCTCTTCCACTTCACTCCCAACTCACCAACTTTACTCTTCTACTGAACTGTGAATGGAGTAAATTCTAGTCCTGTCTGCTCCCGACCTGATGTAAGAACTTGAGCCCAAGGTTAACTTTGGCTCCCCGTGCCTCAGTTTCCCCATCTGTGTAATGACTCTCAACACCAAAATTCTTAATTCTGTCAATCAATATTTTAAGGACCAAAGACACACATGGGGGTGTAAAGGAATGAGGAGCCCCCTTAGAGGACTGGGGGTGAGCTGGGGGCTGGGAGCCTGAGTCAGGGGGGCTGCGTGCGAGAAGGCAGGTGGAAGGGGCAAGCTTTGAGCTGAGCCACGCCCCCCGGGGGTTTCTCCATTGTTTAGGGTCACAGCTGTGGAGACCCAGGCAGCACCGGGGTCTGTTCCTCCACCAGTAAGTAGGGCGTAAGTGGGGGTGAGGGTGGAATGTGGGCGAGAGGAAGAGGAAGAAGGGGCAGAGGCAGAAATGGGGTGCTACTTGGAGTCAAACTAGGGGAGGCGTGCGTGTGCGCCTGTGTGCGTGGGTGAGCTTGCAAGTGGGACGGTGCGTGTGCACCTTGGGTGGGTCAAAGTGCACCTCCATCCCGCGCACCTCCATCTCGCGCGTTCACCCCAGGTGGTGGATTTTCCGCACCAGCCCAGCGTGCTTTTCTTCAGCTCATTTGTCCTCATTGACACCCTCCAAAGCTTCCTTGGGCACGCAGGAGGCTGCCTCCCCGCCTCCCCCCACCCAGGTCACCAGCTCGGCCACATCCTAGCTCAGCAACCTGTGAATACACAACCCTCCCGCAGTCTCTTCCGGGGAGGCGTCCCCTGGCCGCCCAGTCTCGTGGCTGTCACTTTCCCACACCTTGGCTTGATTTATTCCTCTAGACCCTTCACTGGCTGATGAGCTGGCCTCAGGTCATCAAAGGGCAGGCAACACCACCTCTCTCCACCCTCAACACTACCCTCCTCCCTTGCCTCCCCTCCCCCACCCCACCCCGTTCAAATGCAAGCCGAGTAGTCCGCCCCCATCAACAGCTGTTCCCCCTTATTCATTAGGTCTCGCCCCACCTCCTCTCCCTCGTGATCACGTGATCACGCATCAGTGGATAGAGGGGGGGCTATTGTCTACAATATTCAAAACCACACACCACCACCAGCAAGCCCTGGGGCCAGGCACCCAGGTCTCACGGCCCACCTGGGTTACCCCGAGTTCACAATAAGGCGCTCTGCTGTACCCTGCGCTCATAACTCTGTCCACGGACAGTCGCGTGGCTCACTGTGGAGTCGTTCAAGCCTCATGTTCAAGGTCACGTTCCTGGCCTGTCTCAGGAGCTGTCACCCTCCCACATCACTCTGCTTTGTTTATTTCTCTAGCTGCCACGATCGCAGATGTTTGAGTGTGCGTTTATTATCGAGAACACAAGCCCCCAGAGCACAACCATGCCGTTCACTTCTATTCTTTGTGGCTGAAAGAAAGCCCGGCTCTAGGTGTGCCTTTGTGGGACCAGTGAGTGGGTGGGGAAATGGGGCCTGTGTCTGTGCTGGTGAGAAGTCTGAGGAGACCCAGAATTCGCCTAGGGTGCCACCCGCCCTTGCACCGTCTGTCTGCATGCACAGAGGGCCAGATCCTGCAGAGAGGCGAGAGCGCAAGCGTCCACCCCAGTGTGCGCTGGCTGGTGCCTTCGGCCTGCCAGGCTCTGTGCGTGGAGGGAGAGGGCCCAAAAGCGGGGGGCTGCTCCAGGCTCCAGATTGCTGTGGTTCCCCCAGCTGAGCAGCTGTAGGAAGCAGGAAATGCTGCGGGTGGCCGGGAAGGAGGCCCAGTGTCCTCACAAAGCTTTCTTGGAGGGCTGATAGCAGAGGGCACAGCGTGGATGGGATTTGGACAGAGCCAGAGAGGAGAGAAGGGAATGAGGCCGCAGGTCCAGCACAAGCAAAGTGCAGAGATCGGAATGGAGCTGGAGCTGGCTGACCACGCGTGACCGGGCAGGACACGCATGCTGGGCAGAGTGGACCAGAGGATGGAAAGCTAGATTGGGTGTTGGTAAAATAAACCTCTAGTACTCAAGAGAGGGGCTTGGACTTGGGGACAGTTGACGCCGGCTCCTGCCTGTCTGAGCGAGCCTTGCAGCGATGGCTGGAGGATGGCTCTGACGTTCAGGACCAGTGGGACAGTGGCCGAAAGGGCGACATAGCCGCCGGTCAGGAACACGCACAGGACGTGTGGTATAGGGGAAGGGGTCACAAGAGAGGCGGAAGGAGAGGTCCAGGTGCAGGGGTGAGACGCTTCAAGGGAAGACGTCAGGACCTTGGAATCACCCTCCACTTTCCCGCTGAGCACTGTCAGGAGCAGTCTCTGTGCTGGCTCCGGGTTCAACGGGTCAGGTGCCAAGACACCCCGGGGGGGCGGGCAGTGACATGGGGCTCCCGGCTGCACTCGGACCACCCTGCACTGCAGTCGTAGGCAGCGGCAGTCCAGGGGTGCTTCAGGTGCTTATTTGTCCTGAAACTGGTAGAAACGGGACTTATGCATTTAGTTCTGGAAAACAGTAAGTCTGGCAGGGCCCCAGAATATTCAACTCAGAATATTCAACTCAGCACTACCATCCGCTGTGATCTCCCTCTGCACTGATGCTCTCAAGCCCCAGCTGCCACTGAGAAGAAGGATAATCAGATCGTTAGTGAACGCAACATTCTCAGGACTATTAACAATGGTGCTGGGGATTTAATGCTGAATGTGCTACGGTCTAGTTGGGAGAGACCATGTACGCGTGAACAAATCAATACAGTTTCTCGGTCAGTGGCAATAACAGACTGGAGAGGAGGTTGGAGGCAGGTGACATCTCCGTTGGGCCCTCAGGCTCTCTGTAGCCACCACCTCCCACACTGCCACCTCTCGTCCCAGTTTCCCACCCTCGGCCCTGCCCAAGGAGTGACATCTGAGTCAAGACCTGAGAGACAGCGAGGCGTGAGCTGTGCACAGATCTGGGGGACATTTTAGGAGACAGCAGTGGCAACAGCCGGTCTGGCGATGAGCTTGTTAGCACCAGGCCCAGCAGAAAGGCCCAGGCTGGAGGAAGGGAGGGAGAAGAGGATGGCGGTAAGATCAGAGGCGTGAGAGGCAGGGGGCAGGCTGCACGCGGCCTTGGTGGCCAGGGTGAGGGATTTGGAATGAATTCTAAGTCAGCTAGGTCAGTGGAGAGAGGGGCCCAAGCTGATGTAGGTTGGAAACCTGGAGGGTGAGTGATGAAAACAGGGCACTGTACTGGGCGAGCAGTGGCCATGTGGCCTGGGCCAGCTGGTCACAGCAGAGATCGGTGCTGATGTGAGATTATGGGGCTGCATGCCAGCACGACTCCCTGATGGGCTGCACAAGGAAAGGTTGGCTAGAGAAATAAACGTGCCTCCAGGCCAGGGTCCTGAGCCCCAGGTGGAATCGCCAGCCCAGGTGGTGACTCTGGGGAAGAACATTTGGAATTGAGCAGGAGCTAGCAAGACCAATGAGGGAAGCCGGGAGCAGCAGCAAGACCAGGGA